TATATCTTGCAGAGACTGCCCCAGGCGTAGTACGCGGGAGCGAGCGTACTCTTGAAGGGACGCACGTCTTTCTGCTCCGAAGGCGAGAGGTTTTGCACCAATAGTGTATATGTCATTAACAAAAGTCGATAGTAATGCTCCTTTTCAGTTTCAGTATCTACTTCAAAGTATTTGATGGAGCCATCAAAGTAAGTCCAGATGCTTGAAGATTGCGCCAGCAGCTCGAATTCAAAGGTCCAAGTGAAGAAGTCTTTCCCTCTTGGTTGACGACTGCAGTGGCATATGGGAAGGGGTTGTAACCGACGTGCTATGGTTGTCCTAGTGCAGGGCCACCATGTAAGGTAAAGGAGCTTGCAGACTCTTGTCCTGGAGTCAGCGGCATAGCAGCAGCTGCACGCGTGCAAGTAGAGCTGTCGAGGCTCATAGTGTTGTTGGTGGGAGTAGGATTAGGTACTTTTGAGTCGTCTCCTTGCTTGTGATGTCCTTCCATTCCCATTACTGCACCAAAGTCGATTCTAATCTCCTCCAGTCCAGAAGTAGGCGAAGTGGTAGAGTGAATGGAAGGCCCTTTGCCCAACATGGAGTAAATGGTTGATTGAAAAGCCGAATCAAATATGCTCGCAATGGAATGTAACTAACGAGCCCAAGGAGGGAGTTGTGGGTTCCAGTGGAATCAATTCGCTCATTATACAATGTACAGGTAATACCCTCGTAATAGAGAATCACCCAAGGACTAGGATTCTGTGGAACCTGGGAGAGTAAGTCAGCGGAAGACGTAGTGATCCTCATACTCTAAGAACAGGAAAGTAGATAAGGACAGATATAATGATAAGTGCAAGGTGCAGAAAGACGTGCGTTTATTATTACATACAGAGGTGTTGATTATGAAATAACCTCTTCATGTAATAGTACATTAGATATGCTTGAAATCTATTTGAGTTAATGTGCTACTTAGGCACGGATATTATCAAGAATGTACCGGGATATTCTTCGAACATCCTTTAACAAGTACTAGGACATTGAATATGCAGTAAGTGCAGGCCGTTCGCCTCCCTAGACATTAGTATCGCAGCTGGAAAATGGTTAGGCTAAAAGATCGCTAGCTCTGATGACCAGGTGTAATGAGGCTCATAAAAGGAGTGTCGAATATTGCTAGTAACGAGGAAAAAAAAATGAGGCAACATCAAAACAACCTAGCTAGGCCTAGAGCACACGGTCGAGGCTCGGCAGAGTTGTGATGTGTGGCCGCAAATTGGCGCGGAGCGGGCATGTCAGCTATGAAAATACGAATGCGTAAGAAAATGCGTGCATCTTGTCAGTGGGCTACATTTGGGTGGCGGCTTTCCGAGGAGTGTCACGAAGGCGACAGCGGTGAATACTTTTCAAGGTTAGTAATAAGGGATCGGAGGCAATTTGCTGCGGGAGGTAATTGGCAAAGGGAGGTAATTCGCAACAGGAGGTTCACGAAGGGAGGTATTCACGACGAGAAATTATACGCGACGGGATGTAACTAGCTACGGAAAGTGATAGGTGACAAGAGTTAATGGGCTGGACGTCGAGGGCATTGGGCAGCGGAAGGGCTTGGTGGCAGGATGTGGCGAGAGGGTGGGGCAGCGAGATGGCTAGGCGGCGTGAGGGCGGGGCAGCGAGATGCTGGGCGGCATGAGGGCGGGGCAGCGAGATGGCTAGGTGGCATGAGGGCGGGGCATCGAGATGCTGGGCGGCGTGAGGTCGGGGCACCGAGATGGCTGGGTGGCGTGAGGGTTGGGGGCCGAGGATTGACAAGTAACCGGCGCTATGTGATGGTGCCCTTCTGGGCGACGCCAAGCAGATTTGTGTGTGACGGAAGTAGGTTATGTGTCACGCGTAGGCCTGTGAAACTTTCACGGGCCAAGTTGTACTCGTTGTGACGGATGTCGTAAAACGCCCACATCACCAAAAACCGAACGTCCCAAAAGTGTCCTGAAAGTAAGCGGTCCGAAAACTGTCCGAAACCTGCCTGGAAACAATCCCCATTCCCTCCAAATTCTCATGCTCCAAACCACCTTCCGAAAAGTGGCCGCCAGTTGTCCCGAACCTATCCACGCTCGGAGGAGGATGGGCCACTTTGTGGACAGATGAGGCTAGAGAGTTGCCCAGGCCTGGTTTTGTTTGATCGGACGGCTGAAAATCCAGTTTTCTAGCTAGAATTCAGATTACTGTTGATTGAGAATTCGGGATAAATTGCCGTCAGATCAGCTCGGCAACGATCTAATGGTCCAGAAACCATGACTCGATATTGTTACACAGTTTCACGAAACGGTGTATTTCGCCAACCTACGAAACACCCTGGCGTACCCAAGCCACAAACCAAACTTATCCACACCACGAGTCGAAACCCAGACTTCTTACATACTGCCACATCATCTGCCCAAACCTCGCCCCTCCCAACCAAACCAAACCCAAGCCATGCTTTCCTCTCTTCAGCTTCACCCCCCTACTCCTAACGTCATTTCTTACTTGCACTTCGACATTTCAGATCGTAGCTCAGCTTGTTCGTCATTACCGTCATTACCACTCCAGCCGCTGTTTTCATGGGTTCTTTCTACGTTCATGGGTGCTTTCTACATCGTTCCCCCCTTATTTTTCCTTGTTTGATCATTGCAGGCCCAATATTGCACTTCGGACTATTTCTACCATCACATGGCTGCATTCGTCGATGTAAGACGTGACAATTATTGGCGGCGATTCTTTTTATTTTTTTCCGATGCCGCAACCACGTGATTCTTTACTTTCGTGTTGCGTTAGGTTGCTTTTGCGCAGTAGTCCTTTGTTTTTTCACCATGATGCACTGTCGGCAAGCGAATGCGTAGTCATATTTAGCGCTACGCTAGCGCAACTGTATGCAGGGGTAATCTTTGGGCAATGTCTATTTGACAACTGCACGTCTGCATTTATTTTGAAGGTGTGCGTATCGTGCTTAGGGTGATGGCAGACTCACATGTATTTCTGCACACACTCCAGGGTTCTCATCGCATGCCAGATAGATGCCACAGTATCTTGAGGTAAGTATTTATTCTCTCAGCTACCTGAGTTTCTTTATTATGTCTTTCCCTTTTCCAATATCAAGGCGACGGCCGAGCCCCGATCATTCTGCCCACACTCCAGTGTCCCATTGCTCGCATGAATGATGGCCGTTTCCTGTTTAGGATTGCCCTTTATCTCTGTATTTCAAGTCTTGTGCTTAACGATATTTTTACGCATTGTTTGCCTTGTCTTTTGCACAGCTTTCATTTGGCATGCTCTGGCCAAAATTGCAGGTCCATACTAAATTAGTCGCATTATGGATTTTCCTTCCTTGGAGTATATTGGATTTATAATCATCTGCTACTTCCAGTGTTAATGTATTTCAAATATATGGCCTGTATAATAAAGTGCTTCATTGTAGCATGACTTGTACAAAACAACCGAGAATTTCTAGCGAGGATGGGTTGGACAATTTATGTGATGCCTGGTGAACACTGTACAGACACTTTAGGGCCACTTGTTGAACACTTTCTATTCCGACAACCACCCCAAAAGTGTCCGGTTTCTGCCCCAAAAACATCAAACCTTTATTCATAAAACTATCCGAAACGCCATTCCGGAAACACACCTGTTTTTGCACGGAATGTCCGTTCTCGAACAGTTTTCAGACAACACATTTTGGGGATCCAGCTGTGGAAAGTAACCCAACACCACCCACTTTAGACATGACTTCTCCGTCGATGGTCAAAATATCTCACAGCAAAGCCTTCCTACACACACCTCGATTGGCTTTGTGTCACCCGAATCTGCAGAGTGGCTCGCGACAGAAACGTGAAAGGTTTGAGGGTGGGCCAAATGTGCCCTGAAGGCGAAAGTTAGTTAGACGTGTTGAATTTAACGAATGACTAGAACCACGGCATACAAGAGAATATAACCTAGTGGGTTGTACTCTCTAAGGCACAACCCTGTGTAGTCTATAACAAACATACACGAATATGTTTGACACACCCCTTAGACTGGATAGGGGCACTGCTTGGTGAGAGACAAGCAGCTCAGGGTGGCACTACTAGTCGAGCCTCTAAGGCAAGGGTCTAAAGAAGAGTCAAACGAGTACAAACAAGGCAAGAGCAAGACCAGGGCAGCACTACTAGTCCAGCCAATGGGAAGAGGCCACAAGGCCAGTCAGGGTAATATATATATAGGTCTGTACACACTCAAGGTCCTAGCAAATGAGAGGCTACACGAACGAGACCTAGCTGTACAGAGTGCCGCTGATGATCTTTAGGTGCAAGCGCCTTCGTTAAGATATCAGCTGTGTAGGCACCGAAGGCCAAGTGTACTACGCGGGCCTGGTGACGCTGCTGTAGCTCACGAAGGAGGAAGTACCACAGCTGGATGTGCTTCACTCTGCCCTCGAGTCTAGGCTCCTGACACAGCAGGATCATGGCCATGTCGTCAGCGTATAGAACCGGGGCAGAGCTAGGCCGCTCACCTAAGTCAGTGAGCAAGAAGGTCAGCCAGTGGAGCTGCTGTGCGGCCATGGCACCGGCGTAGATCTCAGCCTCACGGCTAGACTGGGCAACAGATGACGAGCAAGTGGACCTCCACGAGATGGCACCTGAACCAAGGCTAAAGCAGTAGCCCTGGGAGAACCTGAGAGTCTCGGCGTCGTCTGCCAAAGAAGCGTCTGTGTGCCCGGTAAGGACCACTAGTCTGCGTCCTCCTAGCACTAGCCCCATGCCTGATGTACTTGCTCAATAACACAAAACCCTCTTAAAAAGCGAGCTAGGATACTGAGAGGGTATGCGAGATGTGGGCGAGTGCAAGTCATCAAGTACATGAGGCAACCCACCAGCTCTGCGTAAGGACCACTAGGATCTACATCCTCCTCCGGAACAGGCGCAGAGAGTCTGTGGTCTACTGGTAGAGGTGTGGGCTGTGCGGAAGAGAACTGAAGGCCGAACCTCTGAAGGACCTGGCGCACCAAGTGTGACTGTGAGAGAGTGATGGTGCGCGCTGCTCTGTCCCTGGAGATCTGCAAGCCAAGGTAGCGGCACAGCTCTCCTAGGTCAGTGCACGTGTGTCTTCTCAGTAGCTCGGCCTTCACGGAAGCCAGCGCGTCTCTGTCTACAGTAGCAAAGACCAGGTCGTCTACATGGACAAGGATGTAGAACGGAGTTTGGTCGGAACGGACGAAGAGCGAGGGGTGTGAAGACGATAGGAAGAACTGCAGGTCAGCTAGTGTAGCACGCAGCGTGTCATGCCACTCACAAGGCGCCTGTCGCAAGCCGTAGGAGCCACTCGGTACCAGGGGGAAAGGTACCGAAGAACCCCTGGGGGCGGCGCAGGTAGACCTGCTCATGTAGACTGCCTGGAGGAAAGCTATGGAGAAGTCAAGGGAGTGCAGCTCGTAGTCAAGCTGTGCTGCTAGGTGTAGTAGTGCCCGAAGAGTAGGCTGACTGAAGCCTCTAGGGAACCTTGAAGACAAGCGGCTCTTCCGAAGGGCGCTTCACCTTGAAGAGCCATCGGCCATCGGCTACGTTCACCCCAGGCGGGGGAACTCCGTCGACGAAGGTACCGGTGGATCTCCAAGATGCCATCTCTTGCTCCATGGCAGCTATCCACTGAGAGGCCCAGGGTCCCGAGGTGACCTCAGCATATGTGTGAGGGGTCAGGCTGTCAAGGGCCTCAGGGTCACCCTGAGGACCTCGCAGCATGGAACAGAGATGGGGAGCAGCCTCAGAAAGGAAAGCGAGCTCGTACTGCCTGTCCTCTAGAACGTCATTGCCAAGGTCAGCCACACCCCCGACGGACAGAGGGCAGGCAGGGTCAGAGACTAGAGTGGTGGCATAGTCATAGTCAAGGCGGCGGATAGCAGCAAAGTCAGTGACAGCAGCAACAAGAGAGTCAAGGCTCGAGACAGGAATAGATGGGTCGGTAACAAGGGAGGCAAGGACACGAGGAACAACGGGACGCGCGGCACAGAGGAAGTAAAAAAACGGAGGTGGGGCCACAGCGAGCGACGACGGAGGAGGAGACGGGAGGAGCGGAGGAGCACGAGATGCGTGAGAGCGAAGCGACATAGGGTGAGAACGCGGAATAGGGGAGGTAGGAGGAGCACAAGACGGACGACGAGCCCGGACGTGAGATGGAGGAGTTGGGTCAGGAGAGAGGGAAATAGACACAAGAGGAGAACGAGGAGGGAAACGAGCCGTAGAAGAGTCCACGGGAGGAAACACAGGGCTGTAGACTGGCAGAGGAGGAGGCGGCGGCGACGGAGGAGGCACTGGCAGGCGATTAGGGGAAGGAAGACCGAGGAGGCGAAGAACGGACACCGACGGCGACTACTGCGACTGCTGCTCGACTCCAACACCAGAACCTCCAGCGACAACACGGCTCCCTCCGAGAAGCTCCACGCCAGCACCCCCAGAATGGGAACCCGCTCCAGTACATGCTCTAACACGCTCCCCAGTACCCCCAGAATGCACGAACCCTAGCGGCGGTGACGATGGCAGCTGCTGCCACGGCGGCGACGTCAGCGGGGGAGGCGGCTGCGGCGGTGACGGGGGAGAAGAGACCAGGGCGGGGAGGGGCAGGGGGAGGGACTCCACAGAGCCGCGAGAGTCAGCAGACTCCTGGGTAGGGACACCCGACAAGAGAGGGGTGATGTGAGAATACCAAACGGGGCAGGGAGGGGAGGGGGGGGAAGCCGGGGCAACAGGGGGAGGGGGAACCAGGAACAAGGGGGGGTAACCGGGGGACCACAATGGGGAAAGCTGTGGTAAAAGGAGACGGACTCGTCAAAGGTGACGTCTCGGGAGTGAAAGAAGTGTTGAGACAGCGGGTGGTAAAAGTGCCAGTCAGACGAGTCGAGGGGGGAAACCGACGAAGACACAGGGGACGGTGTGGGAAGTGAGCTTGTCCGTGCCAGAGGCACGAACGTGAGCGATGCAGCCCCAGACGTGGAACGCATACACGCCACCAGAGGACCCGGTCCAGAGGAGGGTCGGCGAAACTTGCGGCTGCCGAGGGTGCGGCCACAGATTAAGCTAGTGAGCACCGTAGCGAACATCGAACAGCCACAGAAAATGGGGTGCACCGAGCGACCTCCATGACCAAACCGATGCGTCGCTCAGCGACCCCATTCTGCTGCGGGGAGTCTGGCAGGGTGAATGTCTGGGTGATGCCCTTCGCACAACAGAAGTGACCAAGGCAGCCAGAGGAAAACTTGCCACCACGGTCGAAGTGAAGACGCAAGATAGGGAGACCTCGGTGAACACACGCAGAGACAAGCCACAAGATCAGAACGTCAGGCACGTCGGCCTTCCGCTTCAGAGGAAACACCGTGGTGTAGCGTGTGTAGTCGTTAACAAGCACTAGGAGGTAGCACTCTCGACGCGGCCCATGGACGGGGGCGGGGCCCCAGACGTCCATGTGCAGGGTCTGCAGTGGTGCATCATTGGGGGGGAACGAGGAGTAGTGAGGTGCACGGTGGAGCTGGTCCTCGACGCATGGCGTGCACAGCAGCACAGGTGAGGAGGGTAGCGTGGGGAATGACTCAGGGAGACCTAAGACAAGACCGTGCTGAGACATATGACAAAGACGCGTGAGGGCAGGGTGACCTAGATGGTGGTGCCATAGAAGCATTGGGCCCGTTGCCGGCCGGCCCCGTTGCCTAGCCGGCCCCGTTGCCCGACCGGCCCCGTGGCCTAGCCGGCCCCGTCGCCTCGCCTCCCACGGCCCCGTCTCTTAGCCGCCACGCGGCCCCGTCTTCTAGCCACCACGCAGCCCTGTCTCCTAGCTGCCCAACAGCCTCGTCGCCTGACCGCCCCGCGGCCCAGTCGCCTGCCCGCCACGCGGCCCCTGTTGACCAGCTGCCCCGTGGCATCGCCGCCCAGCCTCCTCGCGGCCCCGTCCCTCAGCTGCCCCTGCGCCTCCCACCTTGCTTCATTGCCCTTTCCCACTGCACTGCACCGCACTCCACCACCGTGTACTGCACTGCACTGCACCCTACCGTACTGCACCTCACTCTATCGCAGTCTACCGCACTACACCACACCTCAGAGCACACCACTGCTTCCGCCGCACTCTATCATTCAGTCCAGTCCACTACCGCCTTTCTGCTGCTGCAGCGACCATGATGGCGGACTAGGTGCTGCGTTTTGATGCGGAGGGTTACCCGGTTGAGTTCGACACGTTGCTCGTCGACCTCCGCTGTCACCTCACTGGTCAGCGGCAGGACGGCCGCTCCCTGGCCGCCCACATCGACGGTACGCTCCCCTGCCCTGACCCCCCTGCTGCTCTACCCGCTGACCCCACGTCTGCTGACCGTGAGTCCGCTGCCGCTGCTGCCCTTGCCCGTGCTGTCTGGTTGTCACGTGACGCTGTCGCAGAGCTCGCGATCAGTCATGCCCTCCCCCTATCTGAGCGCCCCCGCTTTAGGCTGGTCAGGACAGCGAAAGAGTTCCTAGAGGCTGTTGTTGCGCGCTATTCCACCTCGCCCTCTGCCTCTGTCGGTCGCCTGATCCTGCCCATGCTCTTTCCTGATATCGCGTCTTTCTCCACAGTCGCTGACTTGGCCGCCCACTTGCACACGCTAGACATGACCTAGCGCGCTGCTTGCACTGAGGCTCAGCTTCGTGTGTTTCAGTCCCCCATCTGCTCTACCCTCTACCTGCTTGCCACCCTCCTCCCTGACTGCCTTGCCACCGCCCTCGATCACTTCCTTAGTCTCCACCTCGCTGATCTCACCCTCATTGACTTTGTTGACACCCTGTCTGCCATAGAGACCCGTCAGCGCTCTATCGCCCAGTCTAGCGGAACCGTGCCAGTCTCTATCTTTCAGGGGGCTGGGGCTGGTGGCCCAGAGCAGCAGCCCCAGCAGCAGCAGCAGCAGCAGCAGTCCCAGCAGCAGCAGCAGCAGCAGCAGCAGCAGCAACAGGCTCCGCAGCTGGGCCAGCAGCAGCAGCAGCAGTGGAGGGTCGGCCGTCTCCCGCCCGGGTGGCCTGGAGCTGGAGGTGACGGTGGTCGCAGTGGTCGCTCGCGTGGCGTATCGTTGGGTGGTAGTCAGAGTGACGGGCACTGCGAGTACCAGCTCTAGACCGGTCCTCAGCGCGGCCTCGTGTGCGGTAAGACAATCCATACCCCCGCTAGTTACTTTCGTCGCGTAGACGACCTGTTTCGTCTCCGCTTCGGCCCGTCGCCTGACCTCCCCGATTGGCACAGTCTACTCCGTTACCGTGTTCAGATCTTTGATATGGACATGGATGAGATTAGCTCTGCTTTGTATATGCTGTATGTTGATGACTCTAGTGTGACTGGTTCCTATTACCCAGTGTTGCCTAGCGTAGGTTTGCCCAGTGTGCCTAGTTGAGGCTCCCCTGCTGCATCAGGCGTATGATCCTCTCCTTTGTTTAGCCTAGGGTCCTCCCTTGCTCCTCCGACCTCTGTCGCCGCTGCTGCGCTCTCCTTCACTCTGGAATCCGGCGCTTCCCGGTGTTTCTTTCTTGACTCCACGACGCTTACGCCGCTTGCCGCTCCTGCTGCAGTTGCTCTTGGAGACCCTTCCTCCGGTCCAATAGTTGCCCGTAGCTCCACTACTCTCCCCTGTCCGGCGGTTCCCTCAGGCTCCCTTACAGGCCTGCATATCCCCTCGTTCTCTAGGAACCTAGTTGGTGTCGGCTGCCTCCAGGACCTTGGCGTCACCACTACGTTCCCTGGGCACGAGCGGTACGCTGTCAATGCTGAGGCCACCACTGGTGCCCCCCTCACGCTGTCTTCCATCTTCCATCTTGCATCTTCCATCTTCCATCTATCTTCCACGCGCCAGCTCTGTGTGTCCAGGAAGGCTGCAAGAAGAGTCGTGGTCTTCCCTTCAAGCAAGCAAAGGAGCACATCAAATCCTTCGGTCATGGCTCTCAACTCGACAAGCAAGGCACTGCTACTCGCAACGGCAAGGGCAGGCTGAGTCTCAAGGGTGTGAAGAAGTCTTATGGCATTCGCTTCAAGGATGTGGTGTGACATTTCACGTAGTTTCTGCCAAGTCCTACAGCAACCGGATCCATTCGGAAGAGCTCATCTGGCAGTTGGATTCTCACCTTGTAGCGGTCAGGAACAGCAGTAGGAGTTGTCGGTCGCCTGGAGAATGACAGCCTTCTCTCAATCAGCGGTACTTATGACTTACAAGATGCGTTCCGTTCCCTCCATCAGACAAAGAGGGACTACACCTTTTGGTCGAAGACGACGAGTGGTAGCTCGCGTGTCGATAGGGCGTTGATCTCAATGTCGCTACTGCATCGCACAACGGAGGCGTGGCATGTGTCCATCCCGTCCAACATCTCTGATCATTGATTCTTGGTCAAGATCCGGTTTGTCGCCGAAGGGAAGAATGTGATGGGACCTGGCCTGTGGCGTTATCTTGCAACTCAAGCTTCCAGATTGGGGGCTAGGAGCATTGTGGCTGCGGTGGTTGAGAGGAACAAGGAAATTGGAGGGGATCTGGATGCGCTGATGGTCAAGCTAAAGGCGGGGCTACGGTTGTATGCAAAGGAGGAACGAAAGCTGGTGTCGGCAACGATGAACCACCTGGAGAGACGGGTGGGGGAGCTAAGACTGTCGATTATGTGTCAGCCTGTGGACGTGCAACTGGGGGCGCGGCTTCTGGCACTGGAGGCATTGCTAAAGTCGTATTGTGAGCACCGGAGAGACAGCTGCAGCTGCAGGCGGGGATCACTGAGGAACTCAATTGTGAAGTCCCTTCCCAATACTTGTCGGCGAAGGTCAAGGCGAGAAGAACGAGGACAGTGATTGAGACAGTCACTCACAATGGAGAGCAGTTTATCGGGGCGAAGGAGGTGCTGGTTTCCACGTCGAGGTACTTTGCCGAGTCCTTCAGAAGTCCGCAAGGGCACGACCTGCAGCAGACATAGACCTTCACGCCGTAACGACGCTTCTCAGAGGAGGAAGCGAGGAAGCTGGGAGACGATTGGATGGAGGACGAAGTGAAGAGGGTGCTGAGGGGAATGGCAAAGAACAAAATCCCAGGGCATGACGGTATACCGAAGGAGCTGCTAGAAGCACAGTGGGAACTGGTGGGTGCACTTGTGATGGCGTGCATCGAGTACTTCACAAGAACAGGGAGGTAATCGCGGGGTTTCAAGACTACGGTTACGGTGCTGCTCCACAAGAAAGGCCCAAAGGATAGCATACATAATTACATACCTATATCCCTGCTCAGCATGGTCCACAAGGTGATCGCAAAGGTTTTGGCAAACAGAGTGAGGGTCTGCTTGCACATGGTAATATCTGAAGTCCAGCACGGTTTCTTACCTATGAGAAAGTTAGCGGATGCGGTGGCCGTGGTCGCGGATGTCATCGACGCAGCGGCAGCGGACAAAGAGAATTGGCTTATGCTCATGTTCGATTTTCAAAAGGCGTACGACACGGTGTTCAGACCGTACCTGTTCGAGGTTCTGAAGAGAATGAACTTCCCCAACAAGTTCATCTACTGGGTGGAGGGGATGCATCAGGATGCAACAATGCGAGTGTATACCAACGGCTGGGTCGGGGAAATGGTGAATGTGCAGACAGGGGTGAGGCAGGGGTGTCCACTAGCCCCCTACCTGCTCTTATGTGCAATGGAGCCACTCTGCCAGGAGGTGCGGAGACAAAATTTGGGTGTGGGGGAGAAGGGCAGTGACGTGCTTTCGTACCTCAGATATGCAGATGACACGACTCTGCTACTGCAAGGTCGTCACCAGTTGAGTAGAGTAGCGGAGATTTTGCATGAGTTTGGAGTACGGTCGGGGCTGAATACGAACTGGGACAAATCGGTGGTTATCCCGCTGGGTCTCCAACGCAGCCGTCCACCGATGCAGAACCAGCCTTTCAAGTGGGCGGTGCCTGGAGTCCCGGAGAGGCTTCTTGGCGTGTGGATCACCACTGATGGCGTAGTGGAACTTGCATGGGAGATGGCTCTGGCTAGTATGGAGAAGATTTTAAAAGTGTGGGAGACGAATTACATCACCACCACGGCGAGAGTCTTGGCGGTCAATAGCTACGTGATGCTGTTCACCCTGTTTCAAGCGCAAATTTATCCGCCACCTAAGAGGATATGGGACATGGTGAGGAAGCTCTGCCATAACTTCGTATCTGGGGGAAGGGCAAGCAAGGAGAGAGGTTTCATTCTGTGGAGCAATGAGTTGATGTGCACCTCACGAAGGGAAGGGGGGCTTGGGGTGGTTGACCCTAAATCCAGAATTGGTGCGATGGCGCTGAGGACGGCAGGAGCTCTTTTAACGGAACCGCACCAGTGGGAACGAAGCAACATAGGGTGAGAACGCAAAACTGGCGAGACAGGACAAGCACGAGAGGAACAGCGAGACCAGACGTGAGACGGATGTGTCGGGTCAGGAGTCAGAAGAGGAGACACAAGGGGGAAACGAGGCGGGAAACGGGCCGGGGACGTGTCCGATGGAGGAAACAAAGGACAGTGGACAGGGAGGGGAGGAGGCGGCGGGGGAGGCGCTGGCGAGCGGTCGGGGGAGGGAAGGCCGAGCAGGCATAGGACGGACACCGGCGGCGACTGCTGCTATTGCTGCTTGACACCAACACCTGGACCACCAGCTGCACCACGGCTACCTCCGAAACACTCGACTCCAGCACCCCCAAAGCAAGCACCCCTAGAGCGCGAAGCCCTCTCCAGCACTGGTGCCACCCCCGAGCCCGCCGGGACAAGCCACGAAAGGAACCCCAGGACTAGCACCCTCCTCCACGCCAGCACCCCCAGAGTCCACGAACGGCTGCTGCGGCGGCGGCGATTGCTGCTGCTGCTGCTGCGACAACGGTTGCGGCGGCGACTAGGACGACGGAGGAGGGGACAGCGGGGGGGAGGCAGGCGGCAAGAATTGCGCCGCGGGGCCACCAGAGTAAGCCGACTCCTCGACCGGGACAAGCGACGGGAGGGGAGTGACGTGAGACACACCAGTCGAAGCACGACACGGAGGGAGGGGAGCAGGGGCAACCGGGGGAGTGGGAACCAGAAACAGGGGTGGGGAAACTGGGAGACCTCGGTGGGGAAAGTGACTGTAAAAGGAGACAGATTCGTCGAAAGTGACGTCACGCGAGTGAAGGAAGCGGTGAGACGGTGGGTGGTAGAAGTGCGAGTCAGACGAGTCAAGGGGGAAGCCAAGGAAGACACAGGGGGACAGTGTGGGCAGTGACCTCGTCTGTGCTAGAGGCATGAACGTGAGCGAGGCATCCCCAGACGTGGAACGCAGACGCATCACCAGGAGACCCGGTCCAGAGAAGGGTCTGGGAAACCTGCGGCCGTTGGGAGTGGGGCCACAGGTTCAGCTTGTGAGCGGCGAAGCGAACAGCGAACGGCCACAAAAAATGGGGTGCAGTGGCATGGATCATGGAGGTACGAGCCACCTCCATGACCAAGCCGATGCGTTGCTCAGCGACCCCATTTTGCTGTGGGGAGTCCGGCAGGGTGTACGACCTGGTGATGCCCTCCGCACGACAGAAACGGCCAAGCCGATCGGAGACAAACTAGCCGCCACGGTCGGAGTGGAGACACAGCACGGGGAGACCTCGGCAGACTCGCGCAGCTACGACCCATGGGATAAGAATGTCAGGCACATCGGCCTTCTGCTCCAGAGGAAACACCGTGGTGTAGCGCGTGTAGTCGTCGATAAGCACCAGGAAGTAGTGCTCTCAACGTGGCCCAGAGATGGGGGCTTGACCCTAGACGTCCAGGTGCAGGGTTTGGATTGGCGCGGTGGCAGGGCAAAGCGTGGAGGAGTGAGGTGCATGGACAGCCGGACGTCAACACAGGGCGTGCACGGGGGCGTTGGCGAGGGAGGGAGGGCGGCGAGCGACACAGGGAGACCTAGGACAAGACCGTGCTGGGACATGTGACGCAGACGGGGGAGTGTAGGGTGACCTATGCGGTGGTGCCAAAGCATCAACGGATGAGTGAGCGATTGACACGAGCAAGCCGCAACTACCTGGGGGG